CCCAATAACTGTGAAGGAGTGAGTGTAACCTGAGGATGTGATTTAAATGTGTCAAGCACCTGAATCTTACATCACAGCAAGTGAAAAGGATTCACACCACCAGAAAATGTGGCATGGCCTTGAAATATATGGATTAACTGGGTTAGGGAGCTCATTGTTGAGATAAGAATGTGGCAGAATCATAGGGAAGAAATAATGTTTGAGGAATCTTGAGTGTGGATAGGTCTGTTGAAAACAGGAAGGGCAGAGAAGGCTAGAAGAACCTACCAGCAAGGCACCACAGCACAGAATGATAATAGACCCCAAGTGGAGCTCCAGGAGTTCAATTGGCGAGAAAGAGGAGGGTTTGTATAAGCAAGAATTGTTGAGATCAAGATTGGAAAAAGCACAGGAACAAACAGCCAAATGAATGGAAACACATGAACTATGAACCAATAGCTGAGGAGCCCCCAACTGGATCAGGCCCTCTGGATAAGTGAGACAGTTGATTAGCTTGATCTGTTTGGGAGGCATCCAGGCAGCAGGACTGGGACCTGTCCTCAGTGTATGAGCTGGCTGTTTGGAACCTGGGGCTTATACAGGGACACTTGGCTCAGCCTGGGAGGAGGGAACTGGACCTGCCTGGACTGAATCTACCAGGTTGAACTCAATCCCCAGGGGAGTCTTTGCCCTGGAGGAGATGGGAATGGGGGGAAGGGGGGGGGCGAGAGGGGGGAGAACAAGGGAATCCGTGACTCATATGTAAAATTAAATTATAAAATAAAAAATAAAAATAAAGAAAAAAAGTAAAAGAAAATCTGTGCTGCCAAGTGAAAGTGTCAGTGCTGCGTTTGAAGCGTCAAGATGGATACCATAAAAAAATGGTAACACAACTTGGTTTAAATAAGATTGTGTATTTTTTTTAGAGATAGGTATTTTGTAACCCAGACTAGCCTTCAGACTCACAGTTGTCCTGCTTCTGATCCCAAATGCTGAGATCAATGACATGCACCATCTGTCTAGACTCAATCATAGCTATATTTAAATCATCACCCTAAGTTGTACATACATGTTTACATCCCAGCCTGTGTGAAAGAAATCAACAGCAAAATTGGATATCTTTCCCAGTGGTCCAAACAAAATGCACAGGTCCAGCAGTCCTTCGTCAGGATGACTCTGGTTTGCCCTCTTCCCCATCCAAGCACAGCAGCAAGGCTTTCCTTGACCTGATAGTCTGTGGATCCAAAGTCTTCCCCCTAGAAGAATCTGAATACACGTGAATGAAAAAATTCCAACCTTGTCTCAGGTAGTTTTTGTTCTTGTAGCCATGTATATGTGTCTGGGCGTGGCGTGTGTGTGCAGTGGGGAAGGGGGGAGGAGGGTTATGAAATGGGAATATTCTGCTCTTTGTAAGATATCTTCAATGAGAAGGTGGGGGACTGATGGCACATATTAGTCCTGTTGTTGCTTCAGCTACAAGAGAAAATAAATGGAAAAAAACTCAAAGAGCTTGATGGTTTTCATATCTGATTCTGACTGTCAACACTTGTTAGCTATTTTCTCAAGTCCACAAACTCAGGTACATGTGAGGAAGGTTGGGAGAGGTTTGTGGAAAGCGACCTCTTAGCCATTGCAATGCATGAAATAAGCATGCTTATCTTCAACTCCCCTGGAGCTGGTGATGCTTTACACCACACTATGGGCTTTAGCATCTCTAAAAGCACAGTTTGGGATCTAGAAGATGCCTGAACTCAGTTTCTGCAGATGGAGAGACACAGGCTTAGAAAGATTCAATGGTTTGGTCCAAGTGGCCTCCATTGACAACCACAGCAGACCTTACTGTGGTTTCTGGGTCACTTTGCTGCTGCCTCTCTCTATCTCTCTCTCTCTCTCTCTCTCTCTCTCTCTCTCTCTCTCTCTCTCTCTCTCTCTCTCTCTCTGTGTGTGTGTGTTTTGTGTGTGTGTGTGTGTGTGTGTGTGTGTCCTGTTGGCTTTCTCTGTCTAAATCTGTTGATATTAGAAAAGAGTTTGGGCAATAATACTTCTCTCGAAGAGCAATTTATGCACACTTGAATGTGTATTTACATTTCAAATACCAATCAAATATTTCAGTGCATTTCCTCCACTGGCTTATGGTACCATAATGCATTAAAAATTTAGCATTTGCATCACAAAAATTCTGTTTTCATTCTGCTGTGCTGACAATATTGTGATAAATTATACACTACATAAACCACTGCAGACTTCAGGAGGTTGGAGAGCTAACTCAGCAGCTAAGAAAACTTATGGCTCTTGCAGAGGACCTGGGCTCCTTTCCCAGCACTCACATGGTGGCTCACAACTGTCTATAACTCCAATTTCAAGGGTTCTAATGCCCTCTTCCTGATCTCAACAGGCAGCAGACACACACAAGGTACACATACATACATGCAGGCAAGACACTCAAATACATAAAAAAAAAATTTTACACAAAGCCAACAGACTTCAATCAGTTATGCAAGTCTTATTCAGACTGCATCTGGTTTATAGCTTTAATTATTTAAAATGTAGACTTGAACCTTAGCCCACTTGCTGTTGCTATAACAAACTACCTGAAACTGTGATTTCTTAAAGATTCCTTGAGCTTCCAGTTTAGGATGTCAAGAAATCCAAAAGCATGACATTGATGTCTGGAAAGTGCTTCTTGCTTCATCATAACATGATGGAGAGTGTCACATGGCAAGATAATAAAAGCTACCCAGGAAAAGTTTACCCTTATGGTACTTCCACTGTTACTCAATAAGTGGATTAAACCACTCATGAGGGCAGATTCCTCATGATCCAACCACATTTCAACAGCCCCATCACCCCCTGCCAGCACCACCAAGGGAATCAGATTTCACTAGGAGTTCCAGGGGGCACTAAACCATGGTAGTAGATTGAGCACACACTGGCATTTCATCTTTGGAGTTTATTTAGGAAATGAAGCCTAGCTCAGTGGTTCCAGAAAAATTAATACATAATCTAAATAGATGGTAATTTCAGAGAGATTTAGCTACATTAGCACTGCTATTTCCCAGCACCGATAATCTTCTTAATTGATTTATTTGATGCTCTTCAGATTGTTTTCTAAAGGCTTAGATTTGTATCTCAGTTGCTGCTTTTGAAACATTCTCCCCCAATGGTGAATTTATCTAATGTAATTTTCACATTGGATGCCATCTTTCTCAAATGATGATACAGGACAGGAGGAATCATGTGGTTATTGCTTCACACTAAATCGGGACTTTGGTTCAAAATATGGATGAACTGTAAGGAAGACAAGAGGAGAGGAAGAGTTGGAGGCCTCTGGGTAAGGAAACCTTGTCCAATGGGTCACGTGGCACAGTGTAATGATAAAAGAAAACATTCTTGGCAGAAATGAGCTGGTGTGTGCAGCTCCAGACTGAGGATCCCAGGTTGATCTGTCATTTCACTAAAAATGTTCCAAAACCTTTGTTTCCCTTCTGGATTCCTCTCTGCAACCCTCTTGATGTCTCACTTGGTTTTCTTAAATGAATTCAACAAAATTAATAATGTGGTATGCTGAAGACTGCAGTTTGATGAAAACCATCTTGCAATGCCTGCTTACACTTATCTGGCAATTTTGGGGAACAGCTATGTCAGTGAAGACAGTGTGCTTTGTGTGCTAAGCATGTGTCCATATCCATCAATCCTGTGTTTCTTGTCTAGACTGTGATTTTGTGCTAAAAAGGGGGGGAGGAGAGTGGAGTGGGTGTGGTTGGATAGGATATGTTGTGGCAATGTTCTAAACTCAGTTTCTCTCTCTCTCTCTCTCTCTCTCTCTCTCTCTCTCTCTCTCTCTCTCTCTCTCTCCTTCCTCCCTCCTCCCTCCCTTTTCTCTCTCGTTCCTAAGAAAATGCATCTTCTGATTATCCAATTTATGGCAGGATTTTGAACTTCGGCGTTGAAACGTAAACAATGGAAATATACTCCATAACAACTAAATATTTAAGCTGCTTAGAGCAATGATCTTTCCTTACAGTAGAACTGGTCTACTTCCTCCTACTCGAGCAAGAAGGGGAATTCAGACCTCAGCAGTTTACAGGACCTGGACAACATAGCTGTCCCCTTGCCTACTCAGCCTGAATTATCCTGCAGGCGAAGACACTTAGCAGGAATTTTGACCCAGCTCCTGGAATGGGTGACTACACCTCGTTAAACTCTCACTCTTGGTCCTGATGTAGCTGCAAGTCAGGGTCTAAAGATCTGTCTCCCAACATGAGCATCGTGCCTTCCCCCTCTTGCAGTCTTGGGATGCAGGTGCACCGCTAACTCCAGAAGAGTCTCTTCTATTAGCCATCACAGGTGTGTGTGTTGGGGGAGGGGGCAGCCCGGACTCCCGCTGGACTACCAGATGTTTAGTTTCTGGCCTGCTTGGAGCATGGGGAAAAGAACCTGGAGAAAAGCTCCTTTCCCGCCCCCATGAGTCACCCCTAGAAAGATGCTCTTTCCAGCTTAGGATTTGCCCAAAGTGGAGGGGGCGGGAAGGATCAAATTCGCTTTGTTATTGGGAGAAAGGTGGGAGGGGAAAGGAAGGGAGAAAGAAGTGAGAAGAGGTAAGAGAGGAGAAGGGAAGAGAGAAGAGAAAAGAGAGGAGAGTTGTTTTGCAGCTGGAGACTAGTAAGGAAGAGCAACAGGGAGCGGCCGGGGCCCCGCTCCCCTCGGGGCTTCTGACAGCCGCACGCACCGTAATTCCCTTCCCGGAGCTGTGCAGATTTCCACAAACAATGACATCACCGGGCGCCGCCGGCGGGTGGTAGCGGGGGGATTTTCCTAGGCGCGCGGCGGCCAGGCGGAGCAAAGGCGCTCTGGGCTGGCGGGGGCGCGGGCAAGCGGCGCCCCCGGGGACCCAGGCAGCCAGCTGGGCGAGGGAGGGCTGGGGCGGGCGGGGGCGGACCCGGGGCGGCCCGGGGCGGAGCCCGCTGTTCCTCTAGCCTCCATTGGCCGCTGGCGGGCGCGCGTCACTCGGGCTGGCGCTCGCCTCCAGCCCTGTGGAATTGGATCCGAGGAGGAGCTGAAAATGCAGATTTAGCATCAAGCACAGACATACACTAGCTCTTTCTCTCGGGTACACATAGCTCCGCACATTCGCACCCCTGCCAGCCAGCCAGGCTGCGCGACTCCACGGCTTGCCTGGCAGCCAGCTGCTGGTGGACAGCGCACAGATTTGCTGTTTGTCAAGCTTCTCTTTTGCCTCGTTTGCTATAAAAAGATTTTTAAAAAGAAAAACAGAAACAAAAACTACATACCTATTTTTTATTTGCATCTTCCCTCCTTGTCCCCTGCTCCACCCGCCTGCGCGCCTCGCAGCCCCACTTTTCACTCCCAAAGAAGGATGGAGGGCGGTTGTGGATCCCAGTGGAAAGCGGCTGGGCTCCTCTTCTGTGTCATGGTTTTTGCGTCTGCTGAGAGACCCGTCTTCACGAATCATTTTCTTGTGGAGTTGCATAAAGACGGAGAGGAAGAGGCTCGCCAAGTTGCAGCAGAACACGGCTTTGGAGTCCGAAAGGTAAGATTTCCCCCATGCATTTCACATGTTGTTTCCAGAGGAGGGACAGCCTTGCGCAATCTCTTTGCAGATTTGCAAGTTTTCTGTCTTTTTTCGTGCTATGCAGCTATTCTGCCATCGGCTCTCAAACACGACATTGCCTCCGGTGATCTTTCGTGGGTTATGTAATTAAAATGTCCTTCATCTGTATTAGAAAGGTCAGCGAAATAATTTGTTGGTGTTTGACTTGGTGGGGGGTGGGAAATAGGACCGCACCTTGCAAAGGATGCTGTGCGCCCGGGCTGCTGTCCGAGGTACCAAGTTTTCCAGGCTGCCTGGGGACAGAGGGATGGAGTCCAGAGCAGCTGGGCTTGACGTCGACTGCTTTGCCAGGGAATTCTCCCCGCCCCCACACCCTGGAGGAAGAATAGTTTCCCACCAACATGGCTCAAAGATTGAGCGTTGCAGTTGACCCCAGTTTTCCGACCCACGCCTAGAGGAGGACTTCCCTCCCAACGACTTTGGTCCCTGCTTTTTTCAGCGGACAAGAGCTTTCTGACTTGGAAACATGGATGGGGTTCTCTGTCCAAAACCCGTGTGGAACTTTTGCACTCCGGCCCCTGCCCACGACCTCCCACCCTCAAAGCGCACTCCTGTTTAGAGAGTTCTTAATTCCCTGCTGTAGGACACCTCGGCGCCAAAAGAGATGGATTCTGAGGGGGATTCCCCACGGAGAAGTCGAGGTGTCCTCTCCTAATATGTGGGCAGCCAGCATGGTTTTCCCGGGAGAGCACGGGGATCCCCATTCCAAGAAGTTGTCCGAGCTGAACTGTTGGGGCACTTGGATAGGGTTTTGGTCTTCGGGTGCCGCTGGCCACCTCTGGAGAAGTTAGGATACTTGTCCTAGGGGGAACAGAGGAAAAGAATGCGCTTGCGGGGGGCACGCGTGACCCACTTGTTCTTCCTGAAAAATATCTGTGTCCGAGGTCTGGAGTGTCCTTAGCGGACTTGGCACTGCTGGGGGAGAGTGGGCATTTGAGGAGAAGGGAGAGGGAGGGGATTGGAAGGTCAAAGGATGTAGCTTGGTACCCGTGGACCAGGAGGACGTCAGTGGGGTTTTAGGCCCTATCCCCTCCCTTCTGGTCTCACAAGGAAACCATTGTGAGAGAGCAGTGGGCTCTCTTCTTGGAAGGGCAGGCAGCACAGGCTGGGTCCCTTCTGTCTGGACTTCGTATGCCTCTCACTGGGCTCCCAGCCACCATGAAGACTCCTTCAGGAGCGCAGGGCTCCCCCGCCTCCACTTACCTGCGCAGCAGTGCGTTTCCACCACTGCTGGGTTTGGCAGCAGGTCCTGAGTTTGACAAAGGTCCTGGAGGAGGCGCGGGTCTGCGGGTGGCGCGCGGGCGGGTCTCACACACACAGAGAACTAGTTGCTCCAAAGAAGTGTAGGTGAAGCGAGGTAGACCAGACTCCTGCTGATGGAGCAGTCAGCTGGCCTTCCTAACTAGGGCCCACGGAGGCTGTTTCCAAAGACATCCAACACTGGAACCCTCCCCACCTCACTCCCCTCCCCCCAAAATAATTAGCAAGACCCAGGGTCCTAGCGCCATTGGATATGATCGATTATGGTTAGCTGATAAGCTGACAGTGAGAACTTTCATATATCATCGTACTTGCATACTTTTCCTTTCGAAAAAAAAAAGATTTCTTTTATTATCAGTTGTGTGTGTGCAGCCTAGCAGAGGACAGAGGCATCAGATCCCCCTGGAGCTGGAGTTAACAGAAGGTTGTGAACTGTTCCATGTGGGTTCTGGGAACTGGATGCACACTTAACTCTGAGCTCTCCCTCCAGTCTACTTAAATACATAAGTTCAAGGAGAACTTAACAGTCATGATGGTGAAATTGACGCTAGGCAAAGTATAGACATACTTTCTCCCCATTATTTCTTGGAGAGGAGTCCACTGATTTTTTTTTTCAATGTAAAGCTAAAATTCCCATCTCTGAAGAGCAGGCTTTCATTTTACTCTCTTTCACTCTATTTCCTTATCCTCTCAGACAGTACCTCCTAACCAAATCCTGTGACCTGTGTCCTGATGCATATTCAGGAACTAATCAGTGTATGGCAAGGTTCCTCTGCCTGAAGAAGCTTCATGGTGTAGTGTCTGCTCCCAAGGAGCCCTCTTTCCCTCCTTTGGATCCATGTGCTGCTGATCTGTCAAGACCTAGACCTAAATCTTGCCAGATGCTACAACCATAAAGAGCTTTTCCTCTCCCAAATGTCCACAAGGCAGGGACAGCTGGTACCCTCTGTTCCATCCTCAGTCACTCTTGTAAATAAGTGAAAGTGAGGCCGGTTTGTTTTTCCACTGGGCAGTTAAGTATTCAGAGCTGACATCATCTGTATTCCTGGCTTCCTCACCTTAACCAGCACACTGGTGTGCTCCACAACCCTTAGAGAGCTTATTGGCCTGGTTTATTTATTCTGTGTCCCAGGTGCTGTGCTCTTTGGTCTCATTGCACTGCTCTGTGCTTGTCCCAACTTTTGTCATTTGTTTTGCATTTGGAACCCCAAGACATCCTTCTCTGTGATTGTTCTAAGCTCTAGCAGCCTCCTAACATTTTCCTGCTCAATGTTAAGGATGAAAGATTCTCAGTAGTTGGTTATTCATACACAGGAAGGGACAGCGATGCAGATGGGGGTAGCCTTCTGTGTTATAGGTTATCTCATCCTAACCTCACAAAAGAAATAGAAATAGCATCAACCTTAGTTCTCAGATGAAATTCAAAGCTCTAAGGTATTAAGTAACTGCCTAATGTTGACAAAGGGAATAACCCAAATATAAATCTAAATTCACTTGACTAGAAGCAGCCTTCAGGAAGCCCTGACTGTCAAGAATTTTGCTTTGGAGGTACCATTTTGTAAACATGAAAAATTGCCCTTCCATTTTCTTCCATTTTTACCTTTACTCTAATTACCATTTGTTTGCTGTTGATATGTGAACATGTGCCATTGACTACTGGGCACATCTGTATGCTTCTTCAGAAGATAAAAACTTAAATAACCTGCCCTTTCCTACCCCTGATGCCACATGCTGTGCTGGGCATTAAACCCTGGGAAAGGTTTTGATGGTGATTTAATGATTTCATCCCTAGAAGACCATTAGTAAATACTTACGTTTCCTCCAGTAAATGGAGTAAAGCACATGTCTAATTTCTTTCTGTTTTATTTTGACCTGGTCTTCACCCCAAAACATCTCCATCTGAGATGCCATGTCTAAAAAATTAGGTAGTGATGGAACTGACTTCAAACAACACCTCCACTTCTTAGAACACTGTTTTTTTTTATTCTTCTGATATGGAAAATAAAAATTACTTATCAAATTAATAACATTCCATACCAAACAGTTTCAGCCAATTTTGAGGGGTGGGGAATATTGGGCAAAATAAGAAAAGGGTTAAGTTTTTATAAGAGTTAACATTTTAAACACTGTTAGGTACTTTTGTTTTATTGTAATATGTTTGGGTTTTTACCCATGGAGGTCTAACTCTGGGGTGCTTGCCTAGGTAACATTGTACGACCATTTTCATATGTGTATGAATATTTTTCAAATCTAAAAGCAATCTACTAATAATTGTGCTAGTAGGTAATAAAAATAAATTTTGGATCATTGTATTTTATGGACATATAATTTAACTTATGAGAGAACATAATTTAATATTTTCACAAAATGAGCACACTTGTGTCAAGAGCACTGAAGTCAAGAAAGAATTACTATCAGAAACCCTAAGGCCCGCTATTGCTTCATTGGGTGCTTCTGAGGTTAGGCAAATGTAAACATTGCTTTGGGGGATACCAAGTCCAGCTGGCACTCCATATCCAGGTGGCTTCATATCTGCTCTCAACCAGAGATGGGTGGAAAATGTTTTAAAACCAAAGGTACATCTGTACTGAACAGATGTTTCTTACCTTATTATGTTTCCCAAAACAATTTGTTTACTATTTACATAGCATTGACACTGCATTAGGTGTTACAAGTAAGTAGAAATTATTTATAGTATTTGCAGAAGTATGCATGCTGACTACATGCAAATCATACACAATTTTATATAAGGGATCAAGTATTTGGGACTTAGGTAAACACCAGAGATGCTGACGCTAGCTCCCAGTAGATGCTAATAGGCAACAGCGCATGTTTTTGGCTAGACATGCATGTGTCTTTCTGTTGGAAATTACTAGAATGGATTCCATGAGTCATGCATACATTTGAGGTTAGGAAGTAGTTGTTTTTTGTTTGTTTGTTTGTTTGTTTTGTTTTTTATTGCTATGTGTCCTGGTGACTTACTGCCAACTTGACACAACTAAGAGTTACCTGGGAAGAATAAGTCTCAAATGAGGGAACTGCTTAAATTGAATAGACCTGTGGCCAAGTCTGTGGGGAACTATCTTGACTGTTGTTTGATGTGGGAAGACCCAGCCCATGGTGGAGGATGCCAACCCCCAAGGTGTTACTAAGCTGTATAAGAAAACTTGCTGAGTATGAGCACAGGAGCAGTGTTTCTCAATGAGTTTTACTCCAGTTCCTGCTTGAGCTCCTTCCTCAACTTCTTTCATCGATGGGCTGTGACCTGGAATTGTAGGCAAAATTAACCATTTCCTTCCCTGAGTTGCTTTTGGTCATGATATTTATCACAGCAACAGAGAGAACACTATGTGACAAATCACTACACTATGCATCCCATAGAACTGCATTGAATCTGGTCAGTCTCAGTAGAGTCCTTTGCTATAAAATCCTAAAAAGATAAAATCAAGGCATCAGCCAGCAGTGTCCTCATCTAGAAGCATGATAATGAATAAACGGCTACCAGGTGCATATGGATTTTCAGAAGCATTTTGTTCTTCATGGATATAGACTTGGGATCTTCATTTCCTCATTGGCTCCTGTTTAAAGCAAGGCTCAGCTCCTAGAGGCCACCTTCACTTACTCATGGCGAGCCTCCTTCTACAGGCTTTTACATTCTG